ATAACAGATAGTCCCATACTGGACACGAGAGCAACTATTTATAACAGATAGTCCCATACTGGACACTAGGGCAACTATTTATAACAGATAGTCCCATACTGGACACTAGGGCAACTATTTATAACAGTCCGATACTGGACACTGAAATTGATTTCTGTGACCTTATTGTCAGGTGTACTGCTTGGAGTGAACAATGAAGTAACAGTCCTGACCACAACCTGCTGTGAGGTCATCCCCATCAGGAAAGAGTGGGTACAAAATGTTGTGTCTCAGGTACACAGTTTAAACATTAACGATCAGGAACTGTCAGCACTCTCCGTTAACGAGAAATACTCATTACGAAAAGTGCTGATTTTTTGTATATATATGTATATATGCTGCTACAGCAGAATGTCATTAAGCAGGTCAAAAATTCTTAACTACGAAATGGAAACTTTTATGTGGAACATTCAGTCTGTTTTAAAAAAATAATAAGGATGAAATAAGCAAATTATGTCCAGCCATGCTACAGTTTCAGGGAAACCTGTCTAATCCGACACTTGACTTTTCCGACATCGTGTCAAATCCAACATTGTACAGCAGCATTCCCTTGAGATTTCCTTCATATTCTTTGTATAAAAACACTGATAAATCTGGTCGCTGCGAGTGCCACTTCCAAATTCCGATACATACTTCAGTCACTGAAGTTTACTTTTGTAATGAAAATTGTCCCTGATAAGCTGACACATCAAACTCACTGTACATGGGTGTAAGTTCAGCGCATCGCATGTGTACACACACGTTCCACTTGACTATGTCAAGGCCAGGGTCGGTCAGTCTAGTGTGAATAAAAAGGGTCTTTAATCACACATGTTACATAGTGATTTAAAATCACATGTACTTTATAGGTATACTGATAAATTGAGTATATTATACTCAAGACGTCATTTTTGAAGTTGTCAGTTGTTGTTTTGCTACGGTTACCTGCGTACCTCATCACTAGCATTGTGAAACTTCTTGTTAACAGGTACATACCATGTAAATATTTAACGTTTCAAACAAATTAAACATCTTAGTGTGCATGCCCATATATATCTAGATATAAAGGGAATGATCGTAGTGAATGTCAACTCAACTACCAAACTGACTTGCCACTCAAAAACCTGACTTTTCCGACACCCTGTCCTATCTGACCAAAGCATTCACTCCCTCATGGGGTCAGATAAGACAGGTTTCACTGTATATCCAAACAAAATTCAGGGGAGATTACTCTATGTAGGGAAATCCACAGTGGAGGTCCCTAGTGTTTTGCTTACAGTTCAGGTAGAGGGAACTGGAATACTTAACTTTTCTTGAATCCAAGGAACTGGGATCCTTAACTTTTCTTGAATCCAAGGAACTGGAATCCTTAACTTTTCTTGAATCCAAGGAACTGGGATCCTTAACTTTTCTTGAATCCAAGGAACTGGAATCCTTAACTTTTCTTGAATCCAAGGAACTGGGATCCTTAACTTTTCTTGAATCCAAGGAACTGGAATCCTTAACTTTTCTTGAATCCAAGGAACTGGGATCCTTAACTTTTCTTGAATCCAAGGAACTGGAATCCTTAACTTTTCTTGAATCCAAGGAACTGGGATCCTTAACTTTTCTTGAATCCAAGGAACTGGGAACCTTAACTTTTCTTGAATCCAATATGCAAACATACGTAACAGCTTTTATATATTTTTACCTTCATGGATAAAAAAATTCACTGTGTTACACCTGCACCAAATTCATTGGTGTTTTTTCTTCAAAACCTGTCCATAATATTCCAGGGGTTATGCTCACCTTTGCTCTCTGCACCCCTGGAATACATATATCATGAAAAAAACAAAAAGTGTTTGTACGCCACCTTGTAGATGACACAAAAAGACTAGTTTGATCGTTTTATGTACATCAGGTGAATAACGTGGCAGTATAACGGTAAAATTGAACAGCTCTGAACTAGAGTGTTGCTCCTCTGTAATCTGCAATTGGTCAGTATTTCTTACCCGAGACCAATAAAATATAGCTATCTTTGTGCCTTCAATTTGAACATGATATATTTAATGGGTACAGGAGGAGGTGATATTGTCAGTGTAACCCTTGGAGTATCGAGGAGTTCTTGCTCGTGTGACAGGTTGATATAGAAGGACAGGTGGACTATCTGTTATATAATTAAAAATATGAAAAGTTGGAAAAATTGATGGAATTGTCTAGAGAAAGTAATTAAATTGATGTCGGATGAAAGAGAAAGAATTAATGGAAGACAGACTAGCTGTTGAGGACAAAGTGCTATTGTGAGAGAATGTAGGAATGGTGGTGTTGATGAGGAAAGGACAGGAAGCAATTACTTAGAGTAGTGAAAAGAGCAGGGAAGATTTGCATCATTAAAGATAATTGATAATGTACATGTACAGACTGGAACCTGGGAACCTTCATGGGCAAGTGGACATTTGACCACCTGATGGCTGTCAATCTCATGAGGATTAGTCCCACCAATATTAAATAGTTCACCAATAGAAATGTTAGTTATAGATAATTTGCGTGTTGTATACTTTCTTAGTTTTTATGTAGAATGATGGATAGAGAGATGATAGATAGAAAGAAGGCACTTAGGTAGTGAGTAAGAAAGAGAACACACTTAGATAGGGGACACTCAAGAGAGATGCAACTGGAGGGTTTAAACTCAAGAGACATGGAAATAGATATAATGAGCTGGAAGTTTAAGACAATCAACAGTGAACTTGAGCTAATTCATCATTCCCCAGGCCGTGCAAGGATGGACGGTCACACTAAGCAACAAAAAAACATCAATTAAAATATTTGATTCATACTTCGTACACAAATAGCTATAATAATATTCATGGAATGTGTTCATAAATTTAAAGCAAAATATTTTTATTTTTTTCATATCACATGAATTATAAAACATTTGGTAAGTAAAAGATGATATACTCAATGTACATGATTCGTTAATACTGCATTTTTTTAATTTAGATCAGTTCTATTTCTAATTTTGTTAAACCAGAGATCCATTATAAACTCTGTTTATAATTATTAACCTCATCTTTATAACAGTCCATCTGACTGGATGATTCTGGTCACATGACAGGGTAATAAAACATCATGTCGCCCTCAGCGCTCAAGTTTCCCTTATCATATTTCCCTTATTGGGAGCCTCTCATTGGCGCGTCAACCTGATCCTGTCTTCATTTGTATTTTGTTTTTTGAATTTTATTCATTTTTTCTGCATAATAAAATATTTATTTTCCACACGTAGGGAAACAAAATTCTTCGTTTCCTTGCTTAACCATGTTTCGTGACGGCAATAGAGTAACATCATTCTCCGACTACATCAAGATGAAAGGTGTTGACGGTTACAAGACATATATATCACAAGAACATAAATAATTCATTTCATTAGTGTTCATTTGTAGAAATTCAGCTAATTTTAGTCCGAAACAGCTGACTAAATTTATTTTGATGGGGACGGAGATTTGTAAAGAGGATAAAAGAAATCTCCAAAATAACATGTTGTCACTTTCGGCCGTCATCATGGTTCTTGTGAATTTCTTATCTGTATCCTTCAGCATCCACAGGAAGCTGGAACAGCCTGGAGCTTGATGCAGGCAAAGTGGATGGTTCATGTTAACAAAGATTCCAGAATACACTCCAAGTATCCTGCCTATCTCCAATTTGAGGTACACTGTATATGACTAAGCACAGGCTTAGATTCAACTATCCTAGTGCATGTCACAGCATTCGTGACATATATTCTATGGTTATTTTCTATGATTTCACTGTGTAAATAGAATAGTCATCAATTTATACATGTATATATATTTAATGTTACTGCAGCACTAAACAATGTAACCGTTTATGCACAAATGTAAAAACTTTGGCGAAATCAAAATTTGCCATCACCAAGATATTCATATTTACCTGATCGAGTGTCTAACTTGATTTCACCCACAACATGTGATTACTATATTTGATTTGCTATATAAGGATGCATGTGCTCGCTGCTGTGATAGTTTGTTCTCAAAATGGAAGGTGAAATAGGCAATAGTTAAAATGTTGCAGAAAGGTTGTACTATACATATATACAGTACAGTTTGTCATGTGTACAAAACATCCTTTTAAATGAAACCTTGAAATAACAATGATTAGAATTGTTTAGTTTGAAAATATATGAAATGTTTATAAACGTAATTTCAGTTCAATCTTATTTAAGGATGTATGGTATACCTTATGCACAAAAACTGTGATCAGTGCAAGAGTAATCTCCCTTGAAACTTTTGAAGGAATCTCTGTACCACTGCAAAAAAAATGTTACCAGGAATTATATTTTTTACTGGCATTTAAAAATAGCTTGAATAGATGAAAGAAATCCACACCTTGCAGAACATGTTATGAAAATATATAATATTAAGATTAAACAAACAAAAGCAGTGGTGTTCTGATGGACTCGGATTTGAACCCCGGACATCAGATCATATGTCACTCTACCTAAATGAGCGACCAGATCAGAGATAATTCTTAGCCCAGTTCCACTATTTTACATTGAAAACAATGTTAAGGGGAGGTTACTCATGTTTGAAAACTAGTCAAATTCTGTAGTTTTTGTCAGCAATGGGACAGGAATAATACTTAATTCACCTCAGTGTCATCAATGCATACATTTGTGCATCACATGTGTTGTAGACTTACTTAACCATTTATTAAAGATATTTAACCATTTATTAACCCTTTCACCCCTATGTAACTTCAGTAAACTCTTCCATGCTTTGATCTGGAGGAGTCCATTATTGTCTACAGCGGTGAATTAAGGTAAAGATATCTTATTTTCAATAGATGAGTGAAACTATTTTGAAAGGAGATACATTTTACAGTAAGGCAACATACATCCTTAAATGCATTGAATAGTAATCTAATATTTTGTGTCTTAATTTGACTGTAATTAAACCCCCCACAAACGAAGTTTGTTGGGGTATATAGGAATCACCCTGCTGTCTATCTATCGGTCTGTCTGTCAATCTGTAAATGAACCTTGTACGCGAATCTCCTAAATCTTGTGTTGGTTTGATTTGTAACTTGACGCAGTGAAAATACATCATATGTTGATGATGTGCATGAAAAAAACAAGGAATTGTTTATTTGACAATTTTTTTCCTTGAGTTATGACCCTTGAAACATTAGATTTTAAAACCCTTGTAAGGGAAACTCTAACAATTGTTGTTTTTTTTTTATTGACAGAGTTAAAGTGAATCTTATGTAGATGTGCATGAGGGACAGGCATTGTATTCAACTCGTATACCCCTTACAAACAAAGTTTGAATGATATCATAATTTAAGATGATATATATCTTAGTGAGTTCGCTCACCATTTCTATAGTTTAAATATTTTCCTAACAGGTTATTTTCCAGTTGATGAAGCAGAGTAGTGTGTTCCGTCAGTGTTCTGACCGATGTGTGTATGACATCTGTTTAAATGGTGTTCCGCAGGAATATTATCCTGGTGAACTAGTGTATACAACGGACGAATTTGGTATGTTAAATATTGGTTTCGTTTTTTTTAAAATTATTTTCCTTATATCTTATCAACAAAAGTTAAGGTTGATTTGACATCCACCATATACTGGCATAAACTATATACTGCAAACTTTAACAAATTTTAGGACATTTGGGATTGGGATATTATACTGTTGTTCAAACCAATTTTCTTGAATGCTGTGTTCATCAACAAGAGGCCCAGGGGCCTTAACAATTCACCTGCTATATTTCTTTTTAAATGAAACAGACATAGTGGCATATAACATATGACACTATGAGGTTGATGTTAATGTTCAAGATTCCCATTTAGGATTTCCAGCATGGGCCTGGGTCAAAGTACCTGTAAGGCAAATGAATAGTAAAGAGTATACAAGATCGTCTTTTGTAAATCTATCAAAGATCCATTCATGGTTGGGCACAAAGAGTCCTTCTGGGTTTGGTTTTATTTTGTTTAATGTCCTATCAACAGCTAAAGTCATTCGAGGACGTGCCTCCATGTGTGTTGTGTATGTGTACTGGAGGCAGGATACGTTAGTGTACCCCTAATGGCCTCCTTGTGATAGCAGGGATCTGATGCTGACTTTATAGTGCTATCTCACTGAAATACCATGACGAAGGCACCCAGCACGGCATTCCGCCTGGTCGCATTTATAATACGAGGATCTTTTGTTTAGCAAATATGATAAGAGCAAGTAATCCTAAGCTACTCTAGACAAACCGAGGTTCAAATCCTTCAGCTTGTACTCTGAAGGAAAAAGATTTTATATATTTACCTACATTTCCCTATTTGGGCCCCATCCATCTAACCCTATGGGGGTAAATCTCACTCTCATGATAGGGTTTTTATACGCCCATCAAATTTTGACAGGAGTATTATGGTATGGGGTTGTCCGTCTGTCCGGCGTTAACTTTTGTTTGTCCGGCAATCTCCTCCTACATTTTTCGGCCGATATCTTTGAAACTTGGTATACATTATAATCATGATATGAAATTGTGTCTCCTTTATAAAGAATTTTGATTTGACAATTTTTCCATAAGTTATTGCCCTTTGTTCATTTCAGTATTTGATCTTTTGTCAGCAGATCTTCTCCTACATTTTTTGACGGATTTCTACGATATTTGCAAAAGTTATTGCCCTTTGTTCATTTCAGTAACAATAACACTAAATGGCATTCGACGGGCGTATGATGTTCCGCCCCGCGGTACTCTTGTTGAAGTTAAGCACTTGGCAAACTATAGTAACCTTGTGCTAAACTTCAAAAATCTTACCCTCGTACAGAGATTTCTCTGTATACTTCACACTGGGGTGATAGATTCTATCATTCTTTTCCAGACCAACATGTATATGTTCTGGTGTTGATGGGAGATGTTGAACTGGAAACAGAACCGGAATCTTCCTGGGAATATACCTTAAGTGCAGGTGAAACATTCTGTAAGTCTTTGCCAGATCATTTTCGTTAACGAGCATTCAAGATTGTCTTTTAAGAACAATATGTCATTTCAAATAATTTAACTGTACTAGAACACCAACAGGTCAGTCTGAACCCCACTGTGTGCCCGACTGTACCCCTATGGTCTATTTTTAGTAGTGTTGTCAACGGTTAGCCGGTTACCGAAATTAAATTACCGAATAATCAGACATTAATTCACCCCATGTGGAGCCCAATGTTTACCTGGCTTAGAACTACAAACTATATAATCCTTGAGACCCAGGTTTTTTTTGGAAATTTTAGTAATAAAAAAAATGTTCAGACTGACTGTTTAGTGAGTAAGTGTAGAAATATCTTGTATTGTATAACATTCTATTCTGAACGAAGTGGTTCATAATTAACTGACTGCGGTTATATCACATGCATGTATTGTCTCTGTTCAGTTGTGGTGACCCTGAAATATTCGAGTAATTATAACCTATCATGCTAATTAAAAGATATCAATTGTAAATACTTTTTGAATAGAACATTAGCTAAACATGCTATGTACCTGTTGTTGTTGTTTATTGTTTGATTACCAAATCTACCGATAAACCGGTTACTCGGTCAGAAGATTTTTCGAGTAACCGGTAACTAAAGTTTGTACGGTTTTGACAACCCTAATTTTTAGTAACGGTGACCTTGACCTAGACCGTAAAAACATTTTAAAACTTTTATTGCAATCTGCATACCAGGGTACCACCATGTGTAATTTCAGAAAGATTAGTCTTTTGGAATCCGAGATAATCTCTGGAAACGACAGTTTGGACGGGTGGATGGGTGGATGGATGGACGGGTGGATGGGTGGATGGATGGACGGACGGACAGACAGACAGATAAACACTGATGACTACTTGTATTGACATTACCTAAGTCAGATTTCAAAACAAAATATTTTGGATTCTGTAACCATGTGTGGGTAGAATGACAGCTAGATACACAGATGGACAATTCCTCAATACTCAAGGGGTTATGCTCACTTTTTCGCTCTCTGCACCCCTGGACTGTGTCATAGCAAAATCGAAACCTCAGTGTGCAACGTACACCTTATGGATGAGACGAGAAGACTAGTTTGATCCTTTGATTTACATCAAAAGAATCTGTTGGTAACGTTATGTAAAATTGACTAGCTTTGAAGACGAGTGTCGCTCCTCTGTTAATTTCAAAGAACATATATCAGCCTTGTGATTTGTCAGGTCCCTAGCTAGCTAAAGTTGTTATATTCATTTAGTCTCCAAGTTTTCCTTCTTCCAGGTCGCTGTGACTGGATGGAAAACAATGGTCAACTTGAAGCCCTTGGTCAGTGTCTGGTGGTGAAGTTGACCTACGATGATGTTCTCCAGGCCGTTACATCCAATCCAGACTCCGTCCTTACTTATCCATCAGAGCCGGAGAGCTATGTACCATAGCTAGAGTAAAGAGCTAAGCTACTACATGTAATATGTTAAAGCATGTGACAAGACCGGAATTGGAGTATTCTAGGCCGGACTATAAATGTGAAGAAACTGTATATTGGAATTATGAAGCTACTCGAGTGCAGACATTGGTGACATACGACAGATGGTCTTTGGTCATAAAAGGGATTAAATTTCTAAACAGTTGGTCCGGAAATATGAAATTTGTATGAATTCGTGGTATAAAAAACAACATTTTGAAATCATTAAATACATTATTTGTTTTATTCATGTCATACTCTAAAGCACCTGTTTCCTGTAACCTTAACTACAGTTTTAGCATTTTGTCAAAGCATACAAATTAAAAAAAAATCCCATCTGTACACTAGTAATTTTCAAGGAATGTAATGCAGGAAGTCATTTCAATTTGACCTAATCTGATTCTCTTGAATATTTTGTTTTGTCTGAGTAAATTTTATATTATCCTTACATAAGCCATGTTTATCTTCATTTTATGATAAAGTTGACATTCAAATGTTCATACCGTTAATATAAACGTTCATACAGTAAATATAGATGTTCATACAGTACGTACAGTTGTTCATAAGTACATATGAATATTCATGGAGTACATACATACATTGTATGTGCATACAATATTTACAGTTCATATACAGTATTTACAGCTGTTAATACAGTACAAATGTGTATATAGTACATATTAATGTTCATACATAGACATTCACACAGCTATACACACAAATGTTCATACAGTATATACGGATGTTCATACTCATGTTCACACAGTATATATGGATGTTCATACTCATGTTCATACAGTATATACGGATGTTCACTCATTTTCATACAGTATATACGGATGTTCATACTCATGTTCACACAGTATATATGGATGTTCATACAGTATATACGGATGTTCATACTCATGTTCATACAGTATATATGGATGTTAAAGGGACATCACGTGAAGAGCCATATTTTTTTTAATGAATATATGTATTGTATGCACTTCCATTTATGTTACCTCGCTATCCCCATATTCATAGTCCGTTCCAAATGTCCAGTTTGACCACTTGAATTGTTCGGGAAAGCCCTGGTAAAAATAGCGCCAATAACGTCACCTGACTAGGCAGTAAACACCAGTGGTTACCTCGCTATCCCCATATTCATAGTCCGTTCCAAATGTCCAGTTTGACCACTTGAATTGTTCGGGAAAGCCCTGCTAAAAATAGCGCCAATAACGTCACCTGACTAGGCAGTAAACACAAGTGGTGTGAGCGAGATGAAACAGTTTCCATAGGGGCCCCCAGAGAGGGGCCGTTAGGCAACTGCAACTGCTTACCGCACTATGAAACCAAGTAATATGATTTCTAAGTCTGTTAATTGCACACTTGCCAATATTCAAAATTTAAATGTATTTAGCTTTAAACATATAGTTGGTGCCAATAAAATTGAACAAGGGATGGGGGCACAATTTTTTTACAATTTATCACAGCCTTCTCCCGTCATACATTTACAATTAAATGTCAACAATGATAATAGGCATAAACATAAAGTAGATATATATAAATATATATTGAATTTAGTACCGGAAGTTGACCAGTACAGATGGTACAGGGCTAAACACCTTCACTCAACCATGAGACAAACCTTTCTGTAAAAAGGAATAATCACGAGACGAAAATCCCTTTTCAAATGTTTACATAAAGTGCATTTATGCAATGACAAACTACACGCGAATAAAAAAGGAAACGTTTGTGAATTTATTTATTACATTATACAACTCAATGTCTTTGGCCTATTTATTTTCTAGACCATGCATATAAATGTATGTATACTCTCTTTCCCACTTTCACTGTCTCCATACGCTAACACTTAGTAAGTCATATTAGCCATCACACACAATAACCTGTATGGCAAAACCACTACGTGTACATGTAGAATATGTGTCAATAAGGAACGTGTTGAAATACTTGATAATTATATTTTTTTCAATATTTTACAGAGATTAAAGAATACTTGTAAATGAACCTTTTTATGTTGAGACAACTTTTCTTTAATCAGTTCCTTTTGTCCGAAACAGAAGCCGTAGTTATCGGTAGCACGTGCCATTTTTACAACGTAATCAAATATTTTTTCCTGTTTTCAATATATATTCCGATTCTATCTGAAGTCGCAAAAAAAAATATCTTTACACAGAAAATGTTGTTACATGATCATACATTGTAAGTCAACATCATATGAAAACATGAACTGTTGAAAAATTACGATTTAAAAAAAAAAGTTATGCGATCCTATTAACTAGAAGTAGGTTCTCCTTCCTCAGTTATTCATCCTGGTCCGTCATTTTGACATTTTTAATCTTGCTGCGATAACATAGCTTTCTGACGAAGCGATTTATTTTATATATATTGCGTCGTTGCACCAGAGGAGGCCGGGTATTCATATTAGCTGGTAGTACTAATTTAAATCTTGCATGTCAAAACAAAACAAAATCGTTTAATTCAGCAATAAAATTAAATCATACAATTTTATTGATCCCGGTAATATTATAAATTATGTAAATCTAATAGCACACGTATCTCATTTGACCCCGATCATGAGTACCCACAGAGGAGAGAACAGAATACGCCGTGGCCATCACAACAGTTATCCCTTGGAGGGCCTCGTGGCAAAATCAAACTAACCAGTCACTTATCCCTTCCTTTAGCATACACCACTGTATAATTATAAAACACAAAGTAATCTCTCTCCAAAACATGCCCATTAACATATTAAACTAAGTTCATCTGTGTTCAAACTCGCACAATGATACTAGCGAGATTAATAGTTTTAGATATTTATTCATAACATAAACAGCGCTAGCATTTCTGTCGATTTCATTTCAGCTTAACCGGCTATCCGGAAGAATACATGCACCATACTAACTGCTAGGGCAGATTTTTTCTGCTTTGAATACTTCCCACTGGCAATAATGATTCCGTAACGTACCCCTTGCGCTATCTTTTGACCATTTGGCAACTTTTCGCTTCGTAGCTGACACGGTACAACACTTTTCTTTCGCTTACTTCACACGGCCAGTCATTTTGTTTACAAAGAAATGGTGTGCTATGCACATGCGCTAGTAGAGGGAAATCCCTGAACAAAACGTTGGTCAGACAGGTAGAAATACCGATGATTATCTTAGATTTAATCATTTTTA